CTCACAGCGCATCCAGCACCGGAGCGGATGTCACCCGCATCAGAGCAGTGGAGGGGGAGCGCTCGGCAGGAATGGGGGAGGGGACCTAGGATTGACCGTGAAAGTGGAGGGTACAAAAGGCAATCGCGAGACTGGATCGTACCTCCCCCCTCCTTCCCCACGTCTTGAGCGATCGCGTGGTTTTGTTCTTGAAGCCACCTTCGTTTCGTCAACGTACTTCTTCTTCTTCACGCATCATCTTCACTTCCACGACATCTTGTCGGAGGTTCAGTCTATCTCGCGATGGGGTCACAAATTGATTCACAAGACGAGTTCACGGTGCTCGTCACTGGCTTCGGCGTACGTTTTTCTACATCTCCACCCGGCTCCCGTTCTATTCCCCGACTGCCCCTCCTTTCCTACCCCGCCATGCCCGCCACGCCGTAACTACTGTCCATCGCATCACAACCGACGACGGACGACGCGCATGGCTCCGCGAGAACAAGCATCCTCATTTCACGAAAGTAGTACCTTCTCAGCTAACAATCCCTCCATCGCAGCCTTTCAAAGCCCAATACCCCGTAAATCCCTCCTGGGAAATCGCCCACTCTCTACCAGCATACCTCCCGCCCCTCCGCGCCAAGAACCCAAAAGATCACCACTCTTCAACCTCCCCCTCCACTTCGTCCTCCTCTCGACCCCTCCCACCCGTCCGCATCCTCGTCCACCCGGAAGCCATTCGCGTAAACTACCAAAACGTCCGCCGCCTGGTACCCCAGCTATGGGACCCGGCAGTTCATCCGCGCATAGACGCGACCGTACACATCGGCATGGCGGGACCGCGGCTGTTCTACTCGATTGAGCGCCGCGGTCACCGGGACGGCTACGCTTTCCCTGACGTGGACGGGAAGAAGCTCGAGGACGAGGATCGGCGAAGGGAGGAGGGCGAGAATTGGGTGTGGTACGGCATGCCGTCTGAGATTGAGACGGGATTGGATCTGGCTGATGTGTTGGAGCGGTGGAAGGATCATAGCCCGGTAAGTCTCCGTCCACGACTACGAATTGGTGCAGTCCAGGGGTGAGGTGGGGGCTGGAAGACGAGTGCTAATCTCTTGCGCAGGAAGGATCCGATCTCCGTATATCCGAAGACGCGGGACACTACCTCTGCGACTTCATCTACTTTTCCAGCCTAGCGCATCTGTGGAAGGCACAGAAGCACCGCAGAGTGACGTTCCTCCACGTCCCGTCCGACGCATCCGAGGCGTCCGTCTCCAGAGGTACCGAATTGGCGATACAGCTGATCCGGTCTATTGCCGAGAGCGAGCTGAGTCGCAGACGTAAAGGAGGCGAGGAGGAAGTCGTGGGTAAGGATGATAAGATTGCGGTTGAGCTACGGGTATAATATTTTTGATCGGCAACTATGATTTCCCACGAGCATTATGAACCACGGTTGGGCAGGATACACATGTCGAGTACCTAGGCAGGCGGCGGGGCACCAGGGATAAGAGGGGGGCATTGGGATGCATGACGGATCTAGCCTGGAGTTCTTTGTGCTATTTACGTCTATATGATTCAGCTAATTCAGTAAGATCTGACACGTATCACAGCAGCGTGGTTGCATAGCTCTTGATCGCTGTTCCATCTCCTCGTGACCGGTATCGGTTGAAGATGCAGGACGACACGCCCGCTTGATTTCTTATTGGGTCAACATCGAAATACCTGAGCGCTTTTATACCAGAGGGTACTCACTTGTATAGAATAGGCGTGAATGTAAGTACGTCTTTCTAAATCTCGCTCGTCAACTCCTTCTACAATGAAGACGGAATGATCTTGTATGGCTTAACGATACACTCCATCATAGACAGCAGCTTGACGTCGAGCTTGTCCCCGAGTACGAGGGCCTACCATCTGCCCTGGAAAGCACTTCATTAGCTAAAGTTGATAACCAGAAGGCATTTTTCCTTGGTTGACGGAGATGTTTGTCGTAATAGCTTGGAGACGTTCTAATAGAGTATTAAGCAATCAAGATAGGGAGGTAATGTTAGTCAGATGGAAGGTGATATGGGCTGGGTATGCGGTACTTCCTTGCCCGGCCCATACCACCTATCTCCTTCCACTTCGGAGATGTGGATGGCCGCCTACTTCCTCCTTCTCCTACAATCTCAGGTACAGAAACAGCATAATGTAAAACATTACGTTTTGCCTCGGCCTACAGGATACCCTGCTAATATATACACTAATATCGTGGAACGGTATAAGCTACTCTACACAGTGACATAAGAAGTTATCGACACTTGAAGTTAGTAGAACATGTTAAAAGGGACAAAAAAGCAAAAGCTCAGGTGCTCAGTCCGTAAATCGAACTGAGACCCTACGAAACCCTCCATTCGTTGACTTCTCGAGATTTCATACCAAGTTCTGTTACTAACGGACCAGGGCGTTATACCGCTCGACCATAGGGATCGATTGGGCTTGGTTGAGGTAGGAGCGACCTCAACCTGGATGTAAAGCATGCGCCCTGCCTGGAGGTCGCATGGAATCGTCAGTTGTGCCAGAATGTTGAACAATACTCTCACCCACGCACGGTATAAGTGCGCCTCGTTCCTTCCATATTAATCACACCTCCCTGGCTCAGATTGTAGCCTGCGCCTCGCGTCCCCCAGACGAGAACCGATGCACCTTCATATCCATAACACCGACAACGCATGATCCTGTAAGTGAAGATATAATACACCTGATCAATCCCAAAACGGCTTCCTCGGAGCCATATTACTAATATATCCAGACTTCTGCATACTAGCCGCCGCCTATGTGAGCTCCGACACGGCCTCTAGTGGCCACTCAATGTCAACACCACCCAATGGAAGACCGAGGACTACCGTCACGCCGCCAGCTTCACAACAGCCTGTAGACTAGACGACAGCACTCTGAACATTGCCCACAGTCGCGACAACGCGTAGCCGAGAAATCACAAGGGTGCCATTCAAGGGGCCGTCGCCTACTGACGTAGCATCGGCGTCGAGGAGGCGCATGGAGGGCTGTTGTGCGCGTATAATGTCAAGGCCAATGTTGATGGATTCCACCCAGGAAAGTAACTCACCTCACGAAGACGCATTGGTGGGGATAGTAGTCGCTGTTGGGAGGGTTTGACCTCCGCATCGTCGGCGAGGACGTTTTGTAGGAAATAAATGGTGAAATGTAAGGAGGTACTGACCCGCGAGATCAAGATGGAAAGGCTCCAGTAGGTTAGAACGAAAACAGTGGCGAGGATGGTGAACGAGATCGATACCAATGCCGCTTATGTGCCCCCATTATACCTGCTTTGATGTAAAGTGTTTTTGGTGTCTCCACGATGAACAGTCTCGAGAGCCATATCACAAGATGAAGTAGATATTCCACGATCACGAAGACATCACAGAGATACCAAAAGTAGCTTGCAGCTTAATGACCAAGATATTATAGTGTTTGACGAGGCCTCACATCTCACGACAACCTCATGCGAACCTTAGCTCCATCACAATCTAGTGCTGAACCACACATGTGAACGCCTAAGGATGTTCTAAACGAAGATTTTACCATTTCCCAATCATCAAGTTATTGCATCGAAAGCGGGAATGTCAGCACTCGGCCTCGCGTCGCGCAAAAGACACGTATCTCAACCCTCCGTTCACAGCGACGCCAGAAAATGGCATGATGGTGGACACCTGAACCTGCTACTTCCGGGTTCTTCATATTCATTCAGCAATCAGGAGAAAGGCCCATCCCGTGATCAGACTACACCCCCTAAATTTCATTAAAGAAGTTCCGCAAGAATGAGTGAGATTATTCCTCGCCTGTGTTTGTGGACGTTCTTCAAAGACTGAGCTCAGTCGAGCTGAACAATTCATGTCCACGCCCTAGGGTGGTAGCGTACGAAGAGAGGCCATTTTTCGTACGATACTGGCCAGAAGGCACCCTGGCCAGTTCCAAAATGCAAGGGATCCTGCGGTAGGTTCATTCTGCTCCCAGTCTGGCAGAGGTAATTCACCAATAACCAGTGTCAGACTTCGTCGCTTATATAAAACAGGCATTGTCGGGAACGGAAAGACACTCCTCAACCAGGGCACCAAATCAGCAGATTCGTTGACCACCATGGGCCCGGAGTTTGTTGATCTTGGCAGATCAAAGCCTTTGAGGGAATCTTCGGTCTTCATTATTATCTAGTCTAGGAAGCATGATTCAGTCTCCGCAGACTATATACTGCCTGGCTCTCGGTGCACTTCGGGGCGTATTCTGCCACGTAACAACAGGCGGTTGAAGAAGGAAGGGCGGGAAGAGTGTAAATTTATGTGACGGAACTGACACGCGATTTATTCTTATAACTAACCATCGTGGGCGATTCCCATGTCTTACGGTGAGACTGAAATTTACGGGGACATTGTGGTGGCTTGCTGCTTCGGTTCATTGCTCTTGGACATATAGGTCGACGTCTATATATGCGTACACATCACGAAGATGAATCAAACAGAGCCCCCAAGTCCAAGCAAATACTGAACTCGCGCTCAATCAAAGTAGAATCCACAAGATCTCGGCCAGAAGCATTACAATCACCTTGGTCGCAAGCTCGGGGGTGTAGCTAGTCCCTAGCCACGTCTCTTTCGCACCGCTTACTCGCACCGCTTGTGTCTCAGGAGCGACCGAGGTCGCTATGAGAACAAACTGGCTGGGTGGTGGAATGGTCCAAGGTCAACAATATCACGCTCACAGCCTACTCGACGACAGGCTACGAGTTCGAGTTCGATTTCCAGCATGAGCACCAAGAAATGTGGCCTGCCGAGGTGAACTCTTTTTTTTTTCTTTCTCCCTTGAGCCTGGCTGCCTCGCTAGGTAAGGGGAATCCTCCGCGATACTGATGAGTTCGTTCAATGCCATACATAGATAGCACTTAGATATGAATAGTCCCGGCCAGCAAAACAGGCCAGCGGCTCACGATGGCATCACGTCCTATCGAGGAACAAGGCCAGCCAATCCCGTGACGCTTGTTATTGCATCTGAGGCGCGAATGCTGCTCTGATCTGTTTGATGAGCGTCGCGACGTTGGAGATGGCGACTAAGGTAGACTCTGGTGCGCGAGGACGTACCTTGATCAACGTGCCTTCGAGGATATCAGAGGAATCATTGGCTTTTGAAGGAACTAGAAAACCTGATTCAATCTCTGGCTCTGCTGTCTGAAATTTTCGATGCTGAATTATCGCGCGGCAAATGAACGGATTACTAGCAACGCCGAGGGCGTGGCAAGAGAAGAGCTTGATCGTCGTCTTCAGGGGCGTCTACGCAGTCTTACAAGGCAAGTGAACAGTCTCTTTCGATCGATTGCATAACATATTAAGCGCGATCCTTCAGGCCGAGGGCCCTGAGATGGACGACCCAGGGCACACAGGAGCGACAAGTCAGAGAGCAATTGGTCTTTCAAGATCAAGATTCAACCTGTTTGGATCCTCCACGTCGCGTCTATCATCGAAGCCCAACGGAAGGATTCGCAAGACGCCATAGACGCACAAACACAACACACCGCTTGCGTGGACCAACACGAGTTGAATGTGCCTCAGGGCAGCGGTTGACGAGATTGTGTGGCTGCATAGTGAGCATGGGCGGCGAGATAAAAAACTGACTCCAAAAGTTTGCGGCGCGCAAGCTGGCGTGGATCTGGCAAATGAGACGCCGGGGAGCTTGCAGGTAACAGGCGCGAAGGATTCGATCTCCTTTGAGCCAGCGAATAGAACAGGCCACGGACTGGCGCTTATCACCAGAATTATGAATCTAGACCATCCACAAACAGGGAGTCTAGAGTCGGCAGATGATGAAGTGGGCAAAATGGTCGGCGAGCAGGATGGCAGACGGAATCGGGGTCTGGGAGGTTGGGAGAGGTGACCCGGTCCATGATGTCTTGACACGGAGACGGTGGTGGTGAGGGTCGACGACCGGGCCGCGGCCCAACATTGTACTGGCTGGAGGCGCGCGCTGTATGACAGCCGGGTACGGACTGGGGCCGGAGCAGAGCCCCCCCAAGTGTATCGGAGACAGGTAGAAGAGATGGCCGGCCACGTACCCGCTCCTCACAGTTGATGCTTGGGGGTAAATTGCGTGCATGGGTCTGCAATTCTCCGGGTCGCTGACGGCCAACGGCGTGGTGGCAGCCAGGTCCAATGGCCGGCATGCTTCATATGGCGCGCGCTCTGGGATCTGGCGAGATCTGGTTGCTGGGCCATGTGGCTGGAAATAGGACGTATGGTGGTCCTTTGATGGAGAGCGCTTGAGAAGAGAGGGAAAGATAGGCTCAAATCGATCGAGGGAGTGTCGAGAGTCGAGACGCCGAACGGTGCCGCGCGCGGAGTGAAGCAGGAATTGAACTTCAAAAAACGAATTTCAATTATTTGTTTTTGTCTTCGTCTTGACTTTGGGCGACCAAGTCGATGTCAAGCAGGTCGCGAATGGAGGCAGGCGCTTGACAGATGGATCGTGAGGCCGAGTACCTTAGACAAGAAACTCGTATGGATGGACTGCCCGCTGGATAAAACGGTGGCTCAACCCGGTCGACAGTGATGCTGGAAAAAAAAGAAGGAAGCTCGTGATCATTCAGCTCTTCCTTCCCTTTCCCTTCTCATCACTCGAAAGCCCCCAAACCAAGAAGTCGAGAGCCAAGCGCTTTCCTTCCTTCCTTCCAACACCAACCAACACCGACACCAGAACCAACAAGGCAATCACACTCGGCTCACACCCTTGTTTCCTTCCTCATTGCAAAATTCTTGTCCTCCTCTCGGGTCCAGGTCTCTTGCCTCACACCACAGACCGAGGCATCTTCACCTTGACATCCACCTCATCTCAGATCATCAGGTGCACTCATCATCCACTGGTTGCATCCTGCTTCCCCTGTTCAGCTGTCACTCCCGTCCGTATTCATTGCGGCATCAATCAGCTCCGGCGCCTTCTCTCGGCCCCACTGTCATCACGAGGTCTGACGACGCTTGACGACGTCTGTTTCTCGTCTTTGCCTCTCGATTCCTCTCTTGCCCACCCCGGCTTCATCGTCATCGGACCGAGACGTCTTTTCTTGTGTCCCGTCTTTGTTAGCTTCGAATCTTCCGGACCATCCAACGAGATTCTTGCTCCGCCTCGCCACTCATCACTATCGGGACCGGTTCTCGACACATCTTCCCGGCAGAAGACTCATCTGCAAGATCTGGTGGACGACGTGGGGATTTACAGGTGAGAAAGCGCCCTCGGCCAGCGTCCAATCACCAGTCATAGACACACAGCACTAAGAATAGCCAGCTCGACCGCGGAACACCCTCCGGACGGCTGCCCCGGCCGACTCTTGTCTTCCCACTGCAATTCCACCTCTTTGACTGGCTACAGTGCTTCTCTGCTAGCGCCCATAAGCAGCCCCGTTGGACCCAGCGACGGACAGCCCGCAACTGCACGACACCTCACCGCGAGCCTCCTCCGAGAGCCAATCACGCCTCTGTATCAGCCTTTCAGACCAGAAATCGAGGCCTCTCCACGCCGGGTCACTGCCTTCTTGATTCTTGCTAGCTCAGGTAGCTTCGCATTCGAGTTACTCGCGCTCTACGATCGCTTGTCTTTGCTTCTCTACGGCATTCTGTCTCTGTCCCTGTTGCCTCTCCTACCATCCACCGCCTGAGCTGGCTTTGCATCCCTCTCTCCACTTACACGGCGCATCACCTCCACCCAGTGCTGCGAGTCTTTGTAGCCTCCGCTTTTGGGACGATACTAGATACCTATCTACTGGACGACTACGAGTTACAGGTGCCGGTTACCTTTGATAGCCAACCAATCCCAATCGACGAGACATCCGTACAAAGCAACATCGTCATTGCACTACGCCACTACCTGAGCCTGCCTTAGCTGACTTGCTACCCGACACCCGACTAATACCTTGGACCAAGGCTCATCCAATAATCACACATTCATCACATTTACCGGGCGAGAGGCCACGAGGCATCCACGATCGCGCGACGGGACAAACGGTGATCCCAGCCATCCGCCGAACGCCAACCGCTTCCTCAAACCAAGCCACTCCCATTGGCTTGTCGTCTTTAGACGCAAACAACCGGAACAAAAAAAAAAGACCAGCCAGTCTACCTTATTCCATCACAGCCAACGGCAGCTTCGGGCACCGCAGCAAAGCACGGGACGAAGGCCAACCGCTGTGTAGGTCACAGCCCAGAACAAAATTTGCCCGCTTTCTTTTGGCGTGCAACGAGCCGGTTCGTCTAAAGAAGGGACGCCAATAGAGGCAAATTAATTGCTGCGGCAGCAGTTCATCGACCCCTTGTCCGCTTTGGCTCTTTCACTGCCCTGACAGGCCCCGTTCCCGTCTCTGTCCAGTCTCTCTGTTTCGCTGTCTCCTGCAGCAGGCTCAGCACGCACTAAGGCAGTGAACACCACACACCACACGCGCCCGCGCAACGAATCAGACCGTCGTCTGTTGAAGCTCCACGACCAATCCCAGCTCATCCACCCACTGCTTCCCTGCCGCTTTAGAGAGACCCCGGTCAACCTCAGTCTCTCTCGACTTCCGCGTCCGCTCCTCTCGATTACTGTCCCGTCCTCCCCACCACCACGCTCTCGCTCTTGTTCGTGTCAACCGCTCTCCTCGACGCTCCCGCCGCGCGCCACTGCTTTCCTCTCGTTGGACCATCTGTATCCGCTGTCACCAACACATCACGACTCCTCTTCACCTCACAGAATCCTTCACGCGCTACCGCAGCCTTTTGGTGCAGGCTCTACATCCTCTCTGTTGTTTGTTTCTCTTCAGGCCATCCACCCCTCCCCCTCGTCCGCGGCATCTCATCACCAGACGCCCCCTTCTTCACCCCTCTCACAACTCTGCCCCTCCCTTGTCCAGCCTGCCGACCTGGAAAGACTGACATTTTGTCTGCCTGCTTGTCTTCCCGCCCAAACTCGAAACCCATTCCTGGCGAATAGCACTGGCTTGTTATTGCCCACCTGTTCAAGCCCCCAGCAACCCCAGACCAGACTTCCGGGAGCACATCAGCTTCCTAAAACCTTCCATTCTCCTTGCCGCCGTCAGAGCTTGACCTCGCACTGCAGTCCTCTTTCCGGCTCACTTACACTACGACTGCACACATACACAAGCGCCCACCGCATTCTCTTCGAAATAATATAACGTCCACCCACCCTCGCAACTACCGGTCTTCTCTCTCCCTTCTCTCCCCAGGCGACTTGTCTCTGCAGCTCGTAGGCAGCCTGACTTCCTCCTCTCTCACCACGTCAGAGTCATTTAGTTGACTGGACATCTCTCCACGCACACATTCGCTACTACCTCACTCTTCTCCCGCCTCTCCTTCCGCCTCAAGCCATCATGCCCGTCAACAGACCCAAGTTAGCCCAGCTGGCCACGCCCGTCACCAGCACTTTCCCCTCGGAAAATATGTTCTCGGCTTCGACTCCGCTCTCTGCCAGACCCATGTCTTGCAAGGACCTTCCCATCAAGACACCCATTAGCCCGCCAACCGCCTACACGGATTTCCTCAAGGCCATGTCTCTCAACTCACCGGCTGCTTTCAAGTCATCAACCTCTGGCGAGACTACTCCCGAGTCCACGCCGGACTCGTTGCCTTCCACCGCCACCAGCGAGCAGACCGATATCTCTTGCAAGTGTGAACACGAGCATAAAGCTCCGGCTACGGCACCGGCCATCCCGCCAAGCCCATTCACACATCTGCCAATGTCAGCACCTCCCACCGGTGCGAATTCTTTCCCGAGCCTCAAGATCCCGCCCTCTCCAGCAGTATCGCACCTGGACTCACCAATGAGCGCACGGTCACCCTTCAGCGCCAGATCGGTTCACTCAGTATTCGATTGGGACGCAGCACTCAAGGCCAAGAGGTTGAATGATTCAAAGAAGCCCTCGAGAACTAGCGTCCGTCACATCCGCGAGGTGGTCACGCGGACAGTAACTTACACGCCGAGGATGAACCCCGCGCCAAAGGGGAAGAGGAGGAAGGTGGAATGAACATCTGGACCAAAGCGAACGCATCCACTTTAACCTAACACGACATCGGCACTACATATCCCGATCTATCTTCTTTTTTGTTCCACCTACCTTCACCATCACCATCACCATCGCCTCAACAACGTTACCCTCAGCAAAAACGCAGTACCATTTGACGACCTAGGCCTAGCGCCACAAAAAAGAGAAGCAAGACATGTGATGAAGCAGGCTCTTCCCACGCAGGGACTTAACCACGATATGACTTAACGGAAGTAACTTGGCGCACACCAGCTGGCGCATACCATGATATGGAGGCAAACATGAGGGTGAAATCACTGATTGGTTCATCTCAAGGAATATGTTGCGAAAGAGAGAAGGGAAATGGTTGGTCTTTTGTTTCGAATCATCTACCGGTCCTCGATTGGGACCGGGCCAAACGGAGTTCTTTGGCGTCTCTACGATGCTCATGTTCGATACCAGAAACTATTTGGGTGGGCGGACTTGATTATCTGAATGGGGGAGAAAGTTTGAATGCGTCTTGGAATTTTTGGAAGACGATGAAGGAGATCTCCCTGGGGTGGGCAAGATACCTACTATACAGCGAGCCAGGTAGCCTAATATCAGCATCCTGTGTATATCTTAACCTTACTAAATTGCGTCTCTCGAGGACAACTCTCGCACCGCAAGAGCGATTGTGACGAATCATTGTGTATGTGTCTGTGTTTATTTGTTTATCGTTGCACCGTGGGCATCCTCGTGCAGCGCGGCCGCATCAGCGGCCGCCAGCATCGTGGGTTTGTTATGGTCCCGCGCTTTAGCGGGGAGGGGGAGAAGAGGCCGCGATGGCCGGCCGGGTGGAGTTGACGAGGAAACGGGTAGATTTCTTATGATCTTCAGAGGTAAAAATATCTTGTTCCAAGATCTTGCTCCAGTTCCTCGCGGACATGGCGTCGAACCCACGTATGGTGATTCCAAGTAAAGAGCCGTGACCACGTTCTCGGAGATCCACTCATCGAATATTTGCTCTCAATCGTGTGACTGGGCGTCATAATTGACCATCTGACCGTAGTTTGTCTTCAATTTCAGCTGGCTGGCCGCTGTACCCTTCTTTCGCCCCGCCTCGGTTTCCGCTGAGGAGATGGGGGATGCCATCCCGTCCGCCTTATCCTGCCCTTCACCTCATCATACCCATACAATCCCGTCACACTTTGGGTTTGGTACGCTCTCTCTTGAACAGCCGAGTTGTATACCCCTCCCCATCAGATGGGAAACCACGCCAAGCAGGGGGATGCGATGACGGATCGATGTAATAGCCGTCGATCTTCAGTGATCCAATATGAGGGAAAACATTGGAAAGCGGTGCAATCGAACCGGAGGGGAGGGGGGCAACCACCCGGCAGAAGGTAGGCTAGATGGGGTTGGAATGGGGGGTGATGGTTCGGCGGTGATGCGTCAAGTCCCGGCCGGAGAGCGGGCATCACATCACAGCACTATAGATGCTGCTCCTGCCACCGTCGCTGCTGATGTTGCTGGCGCCGGGGCGTCATCATCCTCCTCCCGCTGCTAGTCGTGGCTTGGTGTTGCAGTCGTGATGGGCAATGCGGTGATGACTGAAGTGTAGAAAGGCGCACCCATGTCTTCCCAAATTCGTTCCTTACGGCCCCCTCCCCTCCTCCGTGGTCCGCTTAACCTTTTCGTCGCCTTTTGGGGAATAGACCACGGCTGATGAGGTCCATGATTGCCTCACACTCACACAGATACGCACATGCACTCCCCAAGGTGTGCATGTTGCGTGTGTGATTTTGTTTCCTTTCTTTTAGTTGGCTTTTGTCCCAGAAGGCATCTCTTGCAGGTTCGCGGTTGAGATCCAAGGAACACTGCGTTTCGGAGACCGCCAAGGGACAGAGTCAACAGCTCAGACGCAGTCAAGGGCTTGTCGTCAAGCCAAAGAAAAGTACCAAGCAGGCGAAACGTCCAGTCAGAAAGAACTCGAGAAAAGGACCAGTAAAAGCGGCCTGAGGCGCCTTGCCAGATCCGGCCATGGTACGACCCAGCATCCCGGGCACTGCATGGGGGTGGGTGGTCGCGTACGGAGCGAAGCCGTGGAGGACCCCCAGTCACCTCACTTTGCTAAGCGCCTGTCCTCAGAATGGCCGGGGTCTTGATTGGTTCGACGGCGGGAATGACAGGGGTTCCGCGGTGTCCCGGTTCCCGTCAGGACCATCACCAACGGTCGGCGGGGAGGCAGCGGATTGGTCGAGGTTTAAGCGCCGGCGTGCTGGTGTGGGGATCATGGTGGGCGCGGCCAGGCGAAGCGTCTGTGACTTTTGGTTTTTTGACCCTTGACGCAGAGTCACTCGTCGCAAAGAGCTCGGTCGCAAGTCAAGCTGCTCCCACAGAGCTGGAACCTTCTGACCTTCTGCTTCGAAAATGGGCATGGGTGGTTCAGCAGTGAGGTTCAGCAATGAGCAGAGACGAAAAGAATTGGGATGGGGGTTTGCGCTCTCTCGAGGGAAGATGCCGGTAATGTTCCGTTGCTGGGAACAGTGAATCCCATATTGGTTGGTTGCTATCGACTTCTGTCATCTGGCGGTGAAGAAGGTCGATAAATCATAGAGACATGAAATGGCACTACGTACGGAGTCGTCGTCCCGTACATTAGCAGCATGTTTAGGACGCATGTCTGGACCACATTAGCACACGCACGCAGTAAACGAGACGCCAGACCAACCGCGAGTGTGACGACCTCCACCCCCAAAGATGCGACATCAGTAGCGCGAGGAGGGGCAAAGATCGAGACTGCTGCAAGCCTTGGGAAAGGGTGCCTGTGGTGCTGCGTCTTCCAATCTCGGTGAGAATGTGAGATTTCATTGCCTGTCTGGCCTCCGATGACCCAGTACAACGCAGGGTTCCGTTCAACCTCGTCAACCAAAGTACTGACCTTTGACGATTTTGCGTGATTGGCTGCATGTGATTCATAAAAATCTCCGACCCAAAACGAGCCCTGCCTGCCGGTTGTCGCCTCTGACTGGATGTCTCGAATTCTGATACCAGATTTAGCCTCCCCCCGGCGCCACGACTTGAAAACCCTGGTAATGCTGAAACTGGAGCCAAGTCTTTCAACAGTTTGTCAAATGATCAGATTGAAACAGGACTGTAAATCACCAATCATGGATAAGCGATTGGTTGTTCGAGGTGCTGTAGTTCCTTGACTGGTGATCAGAAAACAGCTTAGGTGCAGCTTTTAGTGGCAACTCGGCCGTTTCATAATCTTCTTTCGTCGTTCTTTGCTTCCATGGGTTCAAAGTGATTGCGGATCGCTGAAGATCAAAATCCTATTTTTGGCCTCGCCATATGTCGTACTTCGGCTCCCCGCCCTTGAGATGAGCTCGGCTGATCCGGCGCATAGGAACCAGGCACCGCGAGCCATTTCCAATTTCAAGTAATCTTGACCTCGAAGCTGGCATGTTTTGCTCATGGACTGGCACCCAGCGTGGTCGAAGATATTGCCATATCTCCCGGGTTCGGGAAGCGCTGAGCTTTCAGAGCAATCTCCACTCCCTGTAACACCACGCCATATCCTAGAAGGATACCCATAAGAGCGAATCAAAATATCTTTCGACATGGAGGGATCCTCGAGAACTCTGAAGGCGTCTTCAGTCAACAGTTTTGACTTCCTTGGCCACGGCGTTACAAAGGACAACCTTCACACCTGCACCCGTGAGAACATGGATCCATAGTCTCTGAGTGTCACTGAGACGGTCATTGGCGCTTTTGACCTCGGCGAACATATATTCCTTTTTCGGCTCCGTCCGCCAGAGGATCAAGTCGGGCAGACCTCCGCCCCGCTGTCGGTACTCCTGTGCCATCACCTTGCAGAGAGCGGCCAGTGCGCTACCATCGAAGCACCCGACCAGCTCCACAAGATCCTCAACGTCGTAGTCCCAATTGAGGCCGATAACACAAGTTCGTCGTTCGCGCTCTCTGGCATCGATCTTGCGGATGATGGTTTCCGCACCGCCGTTGCCTATCTCGACTAGTCGGTGATTAATCTCGGACAGCCGCGTCGGATAGAATGAATCCGTATGGAGGTCCAAGGGGCAAGTCTGATAAGCTGTCTGAAATACATTTGGGATGTAGAGGAACAGAATGTCGTAGAAAAGATAGGCGAAAAGTGTGCGAACGATGCCTCCCTCGGCGTGGTATCCTTTATAGCCCTTGCTTCGGTACCAACTCAGGCACATCTCTTCGACGCTGCATTCGCCACCTTCCTCTAGTTCATCGACCCAAATCGTCTTCGTACTTGCTTGTCGGCCATTTCTGCCTTGGCGGTCTTCTTTGATCACCTGGATGCCCTCAACAGTATGCTCTAGTGGCTTTTGGAGACGAACGTGGCCAAAGTCGTGCTGAAGTCGTCGTGGGATGCGGAGCTGTTTCTCGAGCTTGAGCAGACGCTTCTGCAAATCGTAATGGTAGATCAGATGGCACTCATTGTCCTCTAGCGCTGTCTCGCAAGTCGTCGCTGCAATTCGTTTCCAATGCTTCTTCTGAATATCGGGATCGGGAGACACTGCGTTGGCATCTAGTGCATACATGTAGTGTTCCTCTAAGAGAGCCTTTCGTTGATACCAACTGCCTCGCCTAGCAGGATGGAACAGGTGCTGGTAGAGAAGTTCAGTGAGAATAGAGTGTTCGCGTTCGTAATCCTTTAACTTCCCAAACACATATGCTGCCTTGTGGACAATGCGCGTGTAGGAATGAACAGGGGTGAACCTTCTCAAGTAGGCGCCTTCACCTTCTTCGTATAATCGCTTTTCCTTGTCTTGCTCTTCTGTTAAAAGTGTTTTCCACCGAGGGTAGACACGATCAAAGACATCCACAACCTTGCGAAGACCTGCCTCACCCGGCGAGCCATTGAACTCCAGGATCTGATCGACCTCGGCTTCGACACGAACTGCTGACTCGAACTCGAGAACATGTCTTCGAGAAGCAAAAATGTTCGTACTTCGGCAGACAATGTACTCTGGGTAATTCCGGCGTGCGATGCTAGCAAGAATAATGGCCGTCAGAGACTTCTCAGTCCATTCTGTCGACCGGTAGAAGACCAGGTGCACCCTCTCGAAGAGTTTATATGTCAGTGGCGATAGCCTGATGCAAGGGCCTGTGATGATCCTGATCTTTTCTAGAAAGTGTTGCGTCTGGTTCGAGTCTTGCCTGCTGAGAAGCGGTGGAGTATCGTGGCGATCTCGCATTAGACCTCGAGCAGTCTGGGACTCGCCGCTGCCAGACCGTTGTAGCCCATGAGCAAAGAGCCCGGTCTGCTGATAGCCTGTTCGGCACAGCGCTTTCACCAAGTCGGCTTTGTTACGTCCCTGGAATTTGGCCTCTTTAGCAAGATCCTTTAGTTCGTCTAGGCTTAGCAATGAAGACGCCTCTTCGATGGTCGTGATGTGTTCCTCAGAAGCATCGGCAAATGTGAAAGTGCCGTCTAAACTAAACTCTTCCAGGTCAATGCCTTCGACAGGATTGCTGCATGCGGGAGCATCAGGCTCGGGAAGATCTCTGACTTTCTGCAGAGACGCAATGGCAGCTTCAGGATCCGAAACATCACTGTAGTATCCCAGCCGGTCTTGACGGTGCCAAGCGGAAGTCTTGCGCAAGAACAAGCGCACATATCTACGCAAGCCATCAGTCCAGAAGAGCAATGCGATGGAATTAGGACAAACTCACAGGTACTGGGCTTCGTAGCCCAACGATTTCCATTGCTCGAATACGTTACACTCCTTGGCGTCAAACAAATGGGATTCATCTGCCAAGACAGTATCCAAGGCGAGGTTGAACGCATCCACGTAGATGGAGCTCTTGCCCCTTACCCACTTTCGTTCAGGCGCGACGGCTGTTTCGTCTTCAGGGGCGCTGACTTGAGAGCTCCTCATCAATTCATATTCCTCGATCGCCTCTTTGTCCAACTGGATGGGTGGCAAAGTGCTCTCGATGTCAGTCTGCCGTGTGTGGTGCTTGACGTCGTCGTCTGCGTCAGATACATCATTGACTGTCAGGCCTGAGGTATCAGCCTCATCGGTTTCAGACTTGATATTGTCATCATCGTCACAATCGCTGTCCTGAATTTCGACCTTGGCCTTCTTTGCGGGTCTCTCACCGAGCGGCGAGGGTCTCGTTGGAGATCTTGAAGAAGGCTGTGATCTCGGGCGTGGGAGCCGCTGTACGAAGGCGTCCATAGTGCGAATTGATCAATAGTGACATCGTAGAGAGACGGCTCTTGATGAGGTCAACCAGCGTAGTTTGTAAAGATCATCAATGGGGTTTGCCTTGGTGGCGTCATGTGCAATGGAGACGCGAAGGAAACAGGCTGCCGTAGGAGGGAAAGCGCCTTTGAACGCGAGATCAGGTGACCCCGCGTAAATGAGCTCTGATTCTTCTGGCCCACCACAACCACAGCTTCTTCGTCAGACCCTCCCGACTGTCGCAACTTCCTCGACCTCAAAATACTATTGGAGCTCCGGAACGATCGTTCTTTCTCCAATCGATTCACTCCAATCGTTCATCGCCTTGGTGTGTCTTGTTGCTTTGAAAACTTCGTCTTTGCGCACCTTGCCTTTGCCGTCGCAAACTTCACAACTTCCGATAACCAACAAATCGCAAGTACCTATCCTTACTAGTTAACGAATCTTGCCTTCGACACCTGCTCTATTTCCAATCGGGCGTTTGCGCCATAGCACAAAATCAACCAATCGTCTTTATCGCATCTTCCATCCTTCACAATGTCCAACCCAGCAGAGCCTGTTACCCAGGAAGCCACTGCGCCTGCAGATTCTACGTTTGCTCCTGCGCCTGCTACCACGATGGCCGATGCTGCTAGCCTCGACATCCCTATGGCTGATGCTGGCGAACCTGCTTCAGTATGATCTTGAGAATGTCATGCGCTCGTCTCAGGCTTCGCTAATCTCAATATTACAGTCCCCCGTCCCGATCCCGCAGGCCGCCCCGAGCGCCCCCAGTCCTGCTCCTGGCCGAACCGGTACTCCCAACCGCAATGTCAATGGTGAGGCTAGCTCTCGTGCTGGCTCAGTTCATCCCGACACCAATGCGACGAACTTCCCCAACCGCGCGGTAGAGCATGGCGACAATGCCCGCATGTACATCAACAACCACGTCACCGCTGCTCTGCTCGAGGGCATGAAGATTATCAGCAAGAACCAGTAAGGACTGCTCCTACTATGGTCATAACCTATGGTACGAAGGCTAATCGCGCTGTGTTCTAGGCCTGCTAATCCTCTTCACGTCTTGGGCAACTTCCTTCTCGAGGAGTCCCGTCGTAGAAACGAGCCTTCTGCCTGAGCTGCTGGGCGAGCTTTCTTTTGCTATCACACCACAAGGCGATATACAGGCTTGGATGGCATAATCATTTGGGACAATGGGCTCTTGATTTGGTTGGCATGAAGCTGGGCGTTTAGGAAGCAGAAAAGTCTTTGCAATAGCTACTTTGGGCATTATGCTTCAAGGTCATGACGATATGAATGATACCCAGTTCATAAAACTTTTGATTCCTCGAAGTAGCCCTTTAAACACTCATAGACGTTGGTGTTGCCTTGGAAGAATTTCCTCATTTTTGTTTGGTTTATGTCTACTTCTTTCGAGTGACATGCAGGGAAACTTTTAC